TCGGCTCATCAATCGTCCATGGAAGTCTACACATCCGCCCTCCTAATCTGCTTCCGTCTGGGCATTTACGCTCTGGCAAGAAGAAATCGCTGCGGCTTTGGACCGTGGCGGGGAAGTGTCGGTCAGTTCTCCGCGATTCATCGACCCCCTGAAATGCTCACTACTGTTATCAGTAGCCAATTTTCGTTCTTTCCGTGAAAGCTGTTGTTACAGTTACTATGGCCAACTATGCCGCCTGGTGACATCCCCCGGAGCAGAGGTAATCAGAATGAACATCGGGACGAACTATTTTTTTGACGTCAGCTCCGGCATAACGAAATTGACGTTTATTCACAAACACTATTCAGTTGCCCGATAGACTGGAACGGAGTTGAAGGCAGTCAGCAGACCAAACCGCGAGTGCACGTGAAGTTCGTTAAGAGAGGCCTTCTATCTGAAGACTAGGCAGCCCACACACCATGAATACGACTGCTTCTTGCACGTAGCAAATCAATGGTCGCAGCACTCCGCTCGTCGACTTAAAGTAGGTGGCCCAGCTCATGAAATATGTGTAAATTCACGAAAATTTTTTTATAATTCAGAAACCGGTCCAGATGAATCGACCAAAGCACCCAATTAATAATTAGCGACCTTTAGCTAGCTCAAGATAACAAAGAAATACTGAAGATTCTTTTATGCTGGTTAGAAATAAGGATTAAACTCAAAAAACGAAGTTCGGAAAAACGCAAAAATTCTTGTAAATGATTAAACTTACTTTGCAGAGATGTGTAGTGCGTGTTCATGCAAACGACTGAATAAATAAAACAACTTCAGAGCAGTAAAGTTTAAGGAGCCGTTTTAAATAATTTTCGGGCTAAATGTCCTCCAGCAGGTAGTCTAGTGTGCTGCAGTCTGGGAGTTAATCAACTGTTGGACTATTAGCACGGGTTTTTCAGATTTACATAGGATTGCAGGGCGAAGTCTCTCGTTTTTCAATTTCCGCGTAGGGCGGTTCAAGTCATATTTGCAAGCTGGGCTGCTTCGCAGACAACTGCTCAGTTCGGGGCGAAAATTGGAACAATTTGTCCAGTCCACCCTTTTTGGCAGATACTGACAGTTTCCTTATGCAAACTAGAAAACCCACATTATCCGGCATTTTTGGAGTCTCTTTGATTTTCTTGGTTTGCCGTTAGGCTTCATTCCACAATTATTAATGCACTACAGGATGGCCATATAAATAGGAAAACATTTCTGACACGGCTATTGTGGTACCGGTCGCGTTTCCAAATGGCTCACTCACAGGAAATAAATTGCACTAGCAACATCTTACCGTATGCCCCCCGATAGTTAAAGTGACCATTTGACTGTGAACCTATTCCGCCTACTTATGCAATATTTACAGTCCGTGACCGATCTCATGAGATGTTGGCCAAAATTCTGGAATGCGTTTCCGATTAGAAGGGATTACTTAAGTGGGTTTGTTATACTGATTATTTCACACTCGCCGGGATGTCGGCTTTTGAACGCACTTCTTTTTGACTTGCAGAAACCACACTCGGTAGAAGATGACTACTTAAGTGGCATGCATTTTTCCTATCGATTTTCGTTGGTCTTATAAATTCAAATATATTGTACAGAAAACATGCACAAAAATGTACCTTCTTTTGATCACTTAAAAGGAAACCACATTGTCTTCATATTTTATGCCCCGAAGAAAGTGTGTATTTAGGTTTTAAAAGAGTTTCCCGATTTTCGAATAATTTTCAGCCTGATCTGCCATTGCATCAGCGTTTAGCAATTGCAGTCTACAAGGTGCATGCTTTCCGCGCAAGGAAACTCATATATTCCTGTATGCCTTTAAGAAGATACCACATGGAGTTCATGAAATTTTGCTATGGATCCGGACCGTGTTGTACATTTCATGAGGAGCATTAGTAAATGGACATGTGCGGTCTTGCATGCATGGACATCGCACGGCCTTAGAAATCTCATAATTAGAAACTGTTCTAAAACTTAAATATACACTTTCTTCGGACAAATATGAAGATAATGTGAGTTCCTTCCAAATGAGCAAAGGGAAGCATATTTTTGTGCATGTTTTCTGTAAAATATATTTGAATTTATAAGATCATCAGAAATCAATAGGAAAAATGCATACTACTTAAGTAGTCATTTTTTACCGAGAGTGGTTTCTGCAGGCGGTCAAAAAGAAGTGCATTCAAAAGCCAACATCCTGGCGAGTCCGAAATGTTATAGGGTTATGCTGCATGATAATCAGTGTAACAAACCCATTTAAGTAATCCTGCCTAATTGAAAACGCATTCCAGAATTTTGGCCAACATTTCATGAGATCGGTCAATGTGAGCGGAAATTACGAATGTTGTAAAACAAACTTTTGCCTCTTAACGTTATCACTGCTTTTTGGACATATAATTTAGCAAATGTACGAGTCAGAATCTTTAGGAGAGAAAGAGCCCTTACTTTTTCTGAAAATAATGTACCAACTTACACTTTGTTTCACCTGATTTACAAATGTCAGGTTGACGAAAGTTGTCTTCGCAAACCTCTCTTTTGTTAAATTATGATTCTCCATTAGGGAAAAATTCGCACCACGTTATGCCAGTACTTAAAATGCAAAACGTCCGAGTTTCTGTTAACTGATCAGCCGGATTTTGGCCATCATGTTTCACCAGTTTGGTCTCTCCTCCGCGATCCCCCTACTTGCCGACTCAGGTGGCTTGGTAATGTCCTGTGTTGACTGAGAAGCAAGTGCATCCGGATGCTATCACACCCGAACCGGACCCTTTTCATAGACCATGTCAAGGTGTACGGTTGTAGGCACGAGTGAATTGAGCGAGATCAGAACTCGAGCTGACTTCTGCCCGGATGGACGGAAATCGTTGACCATAATTTGTCGTGGACTTGGTCCCGCAGCGTAGAGCCGGCTGCAAGTACTAGAATGAGCAAGTTGGCTTGCCTGTTATTGTTGGTCTGTCATATCAAAAACGCGACCATGGAAGACTGGGATAGGCTGAACTCAGATCAGTAGTTTTGCAAACCGAATAGGCGAGGCGTCCGGCCCGCGTGTCGTTGTGCATGGCACTCTCGGCTATTGATCGCTCGTAGTCTGGCCATAACCGGGATGGACTACAGCCTGTGACGAAATGGGACGTCGGTGTTCCGTCTAGAAATCAGGCCGGTGCGCCCGGCGCGCAACCCTCAAGTAAAAAAGCCGGTTTTGCCTGTGCCGAACGCCTACCTGGCTGCCGAGGTTGTAATTCGGTTTGCGAAGTTGGAAGGCAACTGCACGCCTACAGTTAAAAGGCAGAGGACTGCCTAACTTGATTTTGCCCAGGCATGTCAATCGACTGTATCTTAAAGAAGCGTGCCTTCGGGCAAAGGCGGAATTCATTGAAGCTTTAAAAAGTCGTGATTGCCTTTCGACCGTCACATATCGCTGTCTGGTTGGTGATTGTTGATCCGCCGTCGAAATATGCGACGTAAAAAATATTTACTCCACTGCCTCTATCAGGTCTGTCTGGGATTTTAGTGGTTTTGCCACATACCGGGTCATTATTGGCTGAGTGATGGGTGATTTTAACAATCATTCTCTGAAAGCGTAGCGTTGTGGCTTTTGCAGTCGGTCTACAAACGTATCTCTGCTGCCCTATAGCAAGGTCGCCACATCTACGGACGTCCCAATTCGGCAATGTGTCAATTTCCAGCAGTCCCAACTCCTTCCCGCGTTTTGCTGAATGTGTGTCAACGTCAGGCGCAAATTAAACGTCGGGGAACGTTTAGGAACGAAGGTAGCCGTTTAGCTAAATGACTGAATTAACCAAGATACCACGATGCGCAAACTCGAAATTCGGTCACTGATAGACTGGGCCTCCATGACTGTACGTTTGGATGCTCTTTTTGTCAAACATTGTGGCGTTAGCACTGGTTTATATTTTTTCTGAAAAACATTTTCTG